AAAAAAAATTATTTTGAGATATTGGACCCAAAGTTGGGTCATAAATACTAGTTGCTTTATTAGTTTTTAAGTGTGTTCTCTTCATATTTCAACAATTCAAGTACATTTATTAGGTTCAACATCAAAAAAAAAAAAAATTATAAATGTTTATTTTAATATTTTTAAGGACCCCTTTGTTACGACTTAGGGTTTATTAATAGTAATGAGGCAATTGCTTAGGATATTAAACAGCATACTGAGTACTGTCTATGCCTTGAGTCAAGTTCTTTAACAAATTTAAAAAAAATTAAGTACCAAAAACACAAAAAACCATTGTCATTGTCAAGTCCTCTAAACCTATCATTTACAAATATTCGTGGTCTTCGAAGTAACTTTTCCTCTGTTGAGTCTTATCTCTTGCAAAGTTCACCAGACCTACTTGTTCTTTGTGAGACTAATTTGAGTTCAGCTGTCTCATCTTGTGATCTTAGTGTTGATGGTTATCTTCCTTTAATTCGTAAATATTCCAATAGTCACATGGTTGGTCTGGGCATTTACGTTTATAAGAATTCACCCATTTGTTGGAAAACTAGGTTTGAATCCACAGACTATTCTATTATGTGCTTTCGTTTTGCATTACTTCACTCTATCACCTTTCTCTTTGTTCTATATTGTTCTCCTTCATCTCAATACTGCACTCTTCTTGATGTTATTTCTGATCAAATTGACCAAGCCCTCTCTCTTTATCCATCAGCCAATATTGTTGCTCTTGGAGACTTTAATACTTATCACACCAAATGGCTTGGTTCTAGTGTCAGTGATTATGTAGGGGTTAAAGCCCTCAGCTTTTGCCTTTCTCAATTCCTAACTCAAATAGTCAACTTTTCCACTCGCTTTCCAGACAACCGAAATCATTTACCTTCTCTACTTATTCTCGACCTATGTCTTGTTTCTGATCCTAGTCAGTGCTCAGTTTCTCCACATTTACCCTTAGGTGCTTCTGATCACGTTTTGATCTCTCTAAAACTATCATCTCATTCTTCTTTATCATCTGAATCCCCCTATCATTGTACCTCTTACAACTACCTTTAAGCTGACTGGGACTCTTTCCGTGATTTTCTTCGTGATGGCCCTTGGGTAGAAATATTTGTCTTCCTGCTGAGAAATGTGCCTCTTACATAACTTAATGGATTCAGGCTTGCGTGGAATCTTTTATCCCCTTTTGATGATTCCAGGTCAAGTCTCACTCTTCTCCTTGGTTTTCCTCACATTGTGCTGCTACAATTTCCAATCAAAACTGTTACTTCCATATCTATCAGCAAAACAATAACGTCAAAGCCCGCTATTCTCAGGTCATGAAATCTCATATTTCATCACAAAAATTAGGCTCTTGTGACTTCTAGAGAATCCTTAATAGTATCAATAATAAAGGTAACTCTGTTAATCCTCATCTCTTGTATGGGTCAGACGTCACCTCACCTAAAGACAAAGCTGAATTGTTTGCTAAGAACTTTTCATCAATATTATCTCTTGATTCCACTAGTTGCTTTCTACCTGATTTAGTCGTCAAACAGGTTGATCCATTGCTTGACAATTGTATCATTTCAGCTTCTTGACATTTCTAAAACTTTTGATAAAGTTTGGCATGCTGGTCTTCTCCATAAGCTTTCTTCTTATGGTGTATTTGATAACATCTTTAAGATTATTGAGTCTTTCCTTTCTAATCGTAGTATAAAAGTTCTTTATATTCTGTAACTTCAGGGGTTCTTTAAGGTTCAATTCTTGGCCCTATACTCTTTTTAATTTAAATTAACGATTTTCCAGATACTTTCACATCTAAGGTGGCATTGTTTGCTGATGATACTACCATTTATTCTTGTCATGATAAGAAGCCAACAATCTCTGATTGCTTGGAAGAGGCATTTCAGTTTAAAAAAGGGTCTCACTTCTGCCACAGCATGGGGCTCACAGTGGCTGGTGAACTTTAATTCAAATATAAATCAATTTTTTCAGCCAATCGTTATCGCAATAATTAAGATCTTCCTATATTTATAAACAATAATGAGTCATCTTCCCTTCATCTTCTAAGATTAACTCTTACTTCTTTGAAACCGTATATCAAATCCGTTGCAAAATTAGCATTTGCTTCTTTTCTCCATCTCTATAAATCTCAAATCCGACCTTGAATGGAATACTGATGCCATATCTGGGGCAGATCTTCTAATGATGCCCTTTCTCTTTTAGACAAAGTGCAAAAATGCATTGTAAACATAGTTGGACCTGCTCTTACAGCCAACCTCCAGCCATTATCACATTGTCTTAATGTTGCTTCTCTTTCTCTTTTCTATAAATACATTAATGGGCACTGCTCTAAAGAACAAGCGTCTTTTGTGCCATCTACTCAAATTCATTCTTGTGTTACTCGTCATTCAATTAAGTCTCATTCTATACTTGATTTGAGTATAGTGTATCAATTGTTACTAAAATTTTTAAAAAAATGTTATTCACCTCTCAAAGGCTGAGAGGGTCACTACAGTCAACGAGGTTACTTTATTGTGATGACAACCCATTCTCAACTCTTTAATTACAAAACTGGTACCTTAAATAACAAGCTGTTGTACTGAGAAACTTGAGTGTGGTGACCCTACCACATTGTACCAGGGATGTGGTAGGGATCAAACTCGGAACTTCTTGCTTATGAAGCGAGTGCTCTACCATAACGTTATTACCACATTTTGGTTTACAATTATTTGATTTATATTAGTTATATGATTAGATTTATTACAGCAAAATTCTATAATATTTTGATTGAAATATCATACCAGTTTTAATTTAATTTTTTCTTTACATATGTTATATAACTTTTAAGTTATTTAGCAAATAATAATAAAAAAATTTTATTAACTAGTTTTAAGAATAAATTTTATGCCTTAAATATATATATATTTTTAAATATATATATTTTCTCTCTTAAACTTTTTCAATCTTTAAAATTTTTGCAATTCAAAATTAAAATTGCACAAAAATAAAAAAAACTTGAAACTTATTTTTCACTATTGCCATTGAATATGTATTATTATAAATAATATTAAAATATCTATAATCATGTTTATATTGCTACCCTGATATTTAAATAACTAAAACATTTTTAGAGTAATATAGAACATAAGTTAAGTTTAGTTTATGTTTTAGACTAAAGCATGCAATTCTACAATGAAATGATATGTTGATTATTGTAATTTGTTGAAAGTATGACATCAAGAAGGTAACAATTAGATTTAAAAAATAAAGATCAAAGGACAAAATTTATAATTTTTTAAACTTTTTAGAAGTTTGTTTATTTATCAATTAAACTCTATTTTTTAATAGTATTTAGAAATTAATAATTATTTTATTCTACAAAAGGTTTATAAATTTTGTTAAAATAAATAAAAGTTATAAATAATCTAAGTTATAAATCTGTTGTTTTCTTGCTCTATAAACTTTATCTTTTCTTTTCTAGCAACTTCCAACTCTTATAGTAGTTGCTTGCAGCCTTGTTAAAACTGTACTTCTTGGGTATATTTGCAAATGTTTAAGTGTTTGTTACAAATTACTAGTTATTATTGTTAAAAAGTGATATAATTTTTAAGCGCACATAAATGCTTTCATATAGCTCAACGTTTTGTTTATTATAAACAAACTTATTAATCTTCCAACTCTTCACTTATACAGGTGAATAAGTGGTTGTTTCAGTATCATTTTCCTGCAAACCACTCTTCTTTAAAAGAGTGAGAAACTTTGAATTGATAAATAAAATCAAAAAATTAAAGATACTCTTTTTCTATAACAATCAACCAAACTATTTACAAGCATTTTAATATATTTATAAAATATTAGTCTTTGAAGTTAGTTTATAATATACATCGCATTGCTTTAGGCTTAACATTTTAGGAACCTACAAATTTATACAAATTTCAGGCCATAATTTAAATAAGATTTCTTTTCTTGATTGGTTTTTCAATTGTTATTTTAAAATTGTTTTCTTGCTAAAATAGTTTTTTTTAATTTCTTACTTTGCATCATACTAACTTTTTTTTCCTTATTATTGTTTATCAAAAGGTTTGAAAAATAGTGGCCAATAGTTTCAATGTAGAAATTATTTTCTTGTAAACAAAACATTGAGCTATATGAAAGCCTAAAAATGTGTGCTTAAAAATTATATCATTTTTTAATAATAATAACTAGTAATTTATAACAAACACTTGAACATTTGCGAGCAGTGCAAGTAAAGAAGCCTTGCTATGATATGTGTTGATTCTTTTTTGTTCACTTTTAAAGATCTGAAAAAAAAAAAAAATGATTCTGTTGATTTTTCAAAACCTTAACTAATACAGCATATATAACAGGCTTGGTCGGGAAGTGGGTGCGATTGCACTCAATAACTGACTATGGAAATAATATTTATTTGCGAAAAACCGGCCAGATATTTTAGTCGTTTTGAGAACATTTAAATTTATGTATGTTTACTTAATTAAGTTCATTATTTTAACGTAAATTTTGAAATATTTTGTTTACGGACATACATGGAAACATAAACTCGAATGTTCTCAAACAATCTTTGTGCGGAAAAGTAAAAAAAAAACACAAAAAACCCGTTAAATCTACGAACAACTAATTCTATTGGTTCAAAAAGTACTAACCGAAATTTCTAATAATAAATAATTAATAATCATCAAAGTTAAAACAAATAATTTTAACCACTAATCCATTTTCCTCAGTGTACCCGATAACTGATTCTTTCCCCCAAGAAAGAAAGGTTTTTAAGTTCTTAGAAATTGGTTTACTAACTTCAATTATTTTTGCTTCAGCCAATCTTACAAACTTGTTATACTTAAAGTTACTTTTTTCTGTTTTAAATACTAATTAAAATTTTAAAGCCCACTCACTAAACATCATCAGCGTTATTATGAAGCAGTTCCGCTTTCTCCCCGCATAGTAATTTAACGTTTTTGGGTAATTTCTATTTAACTAATTGAATTTCTACATTAACTCAATGATTTAATTATTTCATTTGTTCATCTTACTAAGAAAAATTGTTTTAAATGTGTTAAACTTTTCAAACTACGCAAAAAATAAAACAGTTATTGAAAAAACTTTTTTATTAATAAATAAATCACCTAGCGTTAGTTTTATTGGTTGAATTTTGTTGGACTTTTCAGGGCCGGGGACTGCATTATTTGGCTGCTTTTTTTATGTGCCACAGGGTAAAAATGACTGAAAAAAATACCGAATGGTCCTCTTGACTATTTCGCGGCCCCTAACATTGTGAGTCCCGAGGTTATAGTCCTTCTTCTCCCCCCACCCCCATCTCCTCAATCCAGCACTGTAAATTGAGGTTTATATAACTTTTTTTTTTATTTAGTTACTATTGTTTGAGAAACTTTTTTAAATGCAAGCCCATTTAATTCAGTTTATCATTCAAAAAATTTCACCATTTAAATGTTATTTAAACGCAATAATGGGTTTATTTCCAGACGCAATAAACTAAAACTTAAGTTAAGAGTTATTAGAAATTTAAAAAAAGGAATTAAAGACCAAGAGAATGGTCAACAGAAAGTTAAAATGGTTGAAGACTTTAAGAAGACCTAAAAAGCTGTTGTCAAAGCAAAACATGAAGTTGGGAGAGATTCCTAAACTTTCGAGAAAAAAAGAAGACCAGCAAGAGTATTTATAGCATAAAAGAGCGGTTACATTTATTGGACATGAGCAGATGTTTAAGCTTGTTTAATCATTGTTATGCAAACAATACCCTCTAGACAATAATTTCTAACAATCGTTCAGAATAACGATTAGCGATTGCAGAATAAGTAATTCCCTTTAGAGATTTACACTGAAAATGATTGCTAAATTATTCCCTAAGAGAATTTAGTTTTGAAGACTTTAAGAAGACCTAAAAAAAGAGAATTTAATTTTGCAAAAGGAATTCTCACTACAAAAGCTGTAGCGCTCAATGTTGGTTGAAATAACGACACGAGAAGACTAAACACAATGTAATAATTAGTTGTAACAATTTAATATATACATATAGAAATAAATGTCAAACAAATACTAAAACAATTCTCTTTCTTAAAATAAATAAGAAGATGAAACATTACAGTTAAATTTACAATGTGTTTTTGGGCTGGAAAACCAGTCTAAATAAGTTAAGGCTTGCTGAACCTTCTTTCTGCTGATGCTACTGTTGCTGCTGATGTTAGAAATGTCCTTAAACTTGCCCAAGCATTTAAGATTTCCAGTGCACCCAAATGTTTTGTATCAAAATTGGCTTTGTGCATTGTTATGTGCTTCATTTCTTCTACAAAGTCTTCATTAACAATATCTGTGAAATATTTTTGTGCAAAATAACTGCTTTATGTAATTATTATGTAATTATTCTTTCTCCAAGCCTTCCCGGGAAGCGTGTGTGGCTGCACGCCTTGTTTATCTATGTTTAAAGTAATTTTTTTAGACTAACTGACCATGACAGCTCATACCTTTTAACTTATAAAGTGTTTCAATAATTGGCTACAATAAAAAAAGTTAATATATTTAACAGTTAGTGAAAATTCTTTTAAAAAAATTATTATTATTGATTGCCAATTATACTTAAATTATAATTTTTTTTTTAAAGATGGTTTCATCACCACATCAATGGACAAGAAGCAGAACAGCTGCTAATGGACCGTGGTACTAATGGTAGTTTTTTATGTAGACCTAGTAGTTCAAAAAAAGATTTCACTCTTTCTGTTAGGTTAGTTTTTAGGTTAGAATTTTGATTTCTTTAACTTATGAAATGTAATAATTATATTTGATTTTTTATGTTTTAATAAATATAAGTTTTAGATCTTAAAAAGTAAGTTAAAATTCCAATTTTTGAAAAGTATCGCTATGAAATTTTTTAAAATTCAATTTTTAAATTAGATTTTTTTATGAATCAAATTTCTGAAAAGTATTCCTTTAGAAGATTAATTTATTATTTTTGTCAAATGCGATAACATGCCACTTGTTAAATAATACTTACAAACAAACCTATAATAGAAAAATGCGAGGCATTAAAAGACCTGGAGAAAAGGATGTCTAATAAAGAGGTTGCCTAAAAGTATGATGTCCTAAAGAACACAATATCTATGTGGTTTAAAAATAAAAAACAAATTATTAAATTCACTGGAAAAAAATGGCAGAAAATCTAAATGAAAGAAACTTTGTAGTGGTAATTTTGAAAATGTAGACAAGGCCATAATTATGTGGTTCATTGTATAAAGAAGTCAACAAGTACCAACTGATGACATCATACTGAAAGAAAATGCACTAAAATTTGCAGAAGCATTAAGAGAGTTGGATTTAAAGCATCTGATTGTTGGTTTCATAATAAACCTCATTACAGTTCTGATAATTTCATGCGCGCATATTTAATAGTACATCTTGGTTCCTTATGAACAGAATTGCATGAATATAAGTAAATAAGCAGATATATAAAAGCATTCTTGAAAGAAACAATTGTTTACATGACATTTCTTTTCTTTTTTTCAAAATAAAAACATCAATTTTGCTTTACATAAGTTTGTTTTAACTATTTCAAGTCTCAAATTTATATTCTTTCTATGTTTGTTTTATAGAATATACATGAAATAAAAGCTTTTAGTGAGTGTGGAAATGCACAATGATAATTATCGTAATACTAAAATACGTTATCAATGAGCGCAACATCAACATTTTTAACTTGATTTAAATAAAATAAAAGTTAAAAAGAATAAGGATTAGAATATTTCTTTTTTTTTTTTTTTACAAAAGATGTGTGAAAAATTAAAAACAATACATCTTTACAAAATTTTGTGGATTAAAACATTTGATTTTTCAAAATTCAATCATGATTTAATTTTTCAATTATCATTATGACAAAACGTTTTGAAAATAGTAAACATTCCTATCTATCTGTTATCAGTAATGGCTTCTTTCATTGTTTGTACAAAATAGAAAACTGCTTTTTTATTTAAACTGAATGTGTCATTTAAATATTATCAAGTGAATAGTATTTCACTTGATAATATTTAAATGACACATTCAGTTTAAATAAAAAAGCAGTTTTCTATTTTGTACAAACAATGAAAGAAGCCATTACTGATAACAGATAGATAGGAATGTTTACTATTTTCAAAACGTTTTGTCATAATGATAATTGAAAAATTAAATCATGATTGAATTTTGAAAAATCAAATGTTTTAATAGTATTTGAAGTTGTACAAAATCGTAGCTTTAAATGAAGTTTTAGTTTGATAAATTTTTTACGCTAGATATTTATTTATAAGATATTTATAAATATTACGCTAGATATTTATAAATATTATGCTAGATATATAATTTTTTAACATTTAAGTTTGGAATTTTCATTGAAGTGTTGCAAGTTTTGATATTTATTACTCATTTGACATAAGCATGAACATACAAAAGTTTGGAGTTTGCACAATGCCTGTAAGTGTCAAAACTCAAATATCTAAAAATCCAGTGTACACCACTGGCAGGGTACGAGTAAGCAGATAATATGATGAAGTATTTATGGCAGTTAAAAGTAAAGCCAAATCTATCTAGTAGGTCAACATGAATCAATTTTATGAAAATGAAAGTTTGTAATGTTTTTGAGTATAGTCAATGATTAGGGACCTGCGCATTGATTCAATTTACAAATCATGTGTTGCTTTGATTCAAGATTTGACTTAAAAAAAAATGATTTGAGTTTTTCGAATTGCTTTTAATTTTGTTAGTGTTGTTGTTTTTCAGATATCCAATGCTAAGATGCTATCAAAATGTTTTTATAGCATGGAAAAATAAATGGATTACACAAGATACCAATTTCCACTCAAGCTATCTTACACAAGATCGCTTGAGTACATAATATTTACATATGTTTTATTAGGTTTGTTTTCTACAGATCCGCTTAAATATAAGAAAGTATATTTCTAAACTTTGGCAGGGATCAAGAGATACATAGTTTACAAATGTCTTACAAAAGTTCCCCTTTTGTTATTCTATTTAACAAGTATATATATAATAATATGCATAATATACAATAATATTCATATATATAATAATATACAAGTATATATATAGTATTATAATATATAACTATTTAAAAAATGCTTAACTAAATCTTGTTTTCCTACCAGCTTGAAAATTGCACCGGTGGTTGCAGTTTTAAGAAACTCTAGAAAATTAAAAAAAAAAAAATAAATGGAACGACACGCTCTGATTCCTCTAACAAATCACGATAATTCACGACATATCACGATAATTGCTCGTACAAATTTCTTATTAGCAAAGTCTTTAAATCTTAAGTAAAAAAAAACAAACTCTGTGACAATTGATATTTATCCTCTCGTTCCACAGCACAAAAAAATTCTATTGTGCATCAAACATTTAAGTTATCTATTTTGAGGTTTTTAGGTTTTTTTGTTTAAATATACATTTGTATATTTTTTTGAGTCAATTTTTCAAGTAATTTAGTAAATTGTTTCATAAAAATTATAAAAATACAAAAAGCAAATATAAAAAGAATTTTCCTTTGTTTTATGAATTTATTGTTAATTATATTTTCATATATATTTGCAAAGCACTTTAATATAATACTTCTATTTTTATTTTATATTTATACTTAGCTGCCATAAACTTACACCAAAAAAGTCACACCAAAGCGGGATATTTCGTAGCAAGGTATTTAGGGTCACTATTACCAAAAGAATGACCAGAGACTAAAGTCCTAATGGTTGTAGTAAGAAGTCTAATTGAGCGACTGTTCAGCCATCATTAAAGTTTCAAAAATATTAAATTTCAAAAATAAGCGCTAATTTTTAGCTTGTAGGAAAACAACATTTTAGTTTAGAGACTATTAAAGAAAGTCTTAGACTTTTGTAAGACTGTGGCCGAAATGCTGTCAAGCCCACAAGTGTTCCGTGACAATTAAATTTAGTAACGAAGGCAGGAGTTATTTGGATGTCTAACAATGGATCTGTTACTCTAGGATGACAATAGTCTTCAAAACTTCTGAAATAAAATATAAGATTTAGTGAACTGAGAGTAATGAAGATAAGCACCTTTTTGTTTTGATTTAATTTAAACTTGTCACTGTATATGTTACTGTAATACTCTTATATTTTACAGTTGTTGACAAAATCGTTCTCTAAGAGTTACCATAGAGTGTGAGAAACCATACTACCAGCAGGCCTCAGAGTTAAAAAAGTTACTGTCAAAAACTCATGGAAATAGTCATAAAAATCCTGCATTCATTGTCCTAGGCAGGAAGCAGGATTACACAGATTTATATCTATGCTAGTCTATAAACAAATAAAGGTAGCAAGAAATATATAAGTTTGTCACAAATAAACTTATGCTTGTCTTTTTCAACATTTTTTAGTTTTGTTCCCTCTTGGTACTAGTTTGTTTTTCTGTGTTTTTTTATTAATATAGGATCTTTCTTTTGTTTTACCAATAATCATTTTATATAAAATTTTATTGATGCTAAAATTAAATTTTACATTGTCAGAAAGATGAACCTATCTATCAAAGATTGTTAATAACTTCTGTTATTACATTGTTAACATAATTCTGCTTACTTTAGCTGTTTTTTTTTTAGGCGAAATGATAGGGTGACTCATATAAAAATTCAGAACAATGGAGAATACTATGATCTCTACGGAGGAGAACAATTCTCAACATTATCTGAACTTATACAATATTACATGGAACATGATTTGCATGAAAAAAATGGAGAATTAATTGAACTAAAGTATCCTATGAATTCAAAGGACCCAACTTCAGAAAGGTTTGTATTTAGTACAAATTATAAAAATATATAAATATGCATAAATAACATAACATATAGCAAAATAGTTATAAATATAATTATGTAAAGTTATTTTTAATAATGAATAAAACTAATTTTAGTGTAAAAATCTTTATAAACTTTAGATATTTTAGTTATTGAAATGTTACAGTTTAATATTTATTTTATAGTAGATTTTTTATTTTGATTTTTTAATGTTTTTAAAATGAAATAAAACATAAGAGAGGATATTTTTTAACAGATGTTATTATTGCGGATAGAAAATATTTGCACATATTTTTATTTTTTGTTATTTAAATCTTCATACAATTATATTTTTCTAATTAAAAAAAAGATATTTAAGTTTTGTAATTTTGGGAGCATTTTAAATTTTTGTATGCAAAAAAAAGTGTTTTTTGAATGTCAATGATATATATATTTTTGTTTGGCATTGCAGTTAGATAAGAATAAATTATTTCAATTTACATGCACATAGTCAGATATTATGTTTTAACAGATATATTCTGAATTCTGGATATTTCTTTAAGATTATTGAATCCTTCCTTTCCAATCGTAGTATAAAAGTTGTCCTTGATGGGCAACACCCTTCTTCTTATTCTGTAACCTCAGAGATTCCTCAAGGTTCAATCCTTGGCCCTATACTCTTTTTAATTTACTAAACGATCTTCCAGATATTCTCACATCTAAGGTGGCATTGTTTGCTGATGATACTACCATTTATTTTTGTCACAATAAGAAGCCAACTCCCTCTGATTTCTTGCAGGGGGCATTTGACCTTGAAAAGAATCTCACTTCTGCTGCAGTATGGGGCTCACAGTGGCTGGTAAACTTTAATTCAGATAAAACTCAATTTTTTTCAGCCAATCGTTATCGCAATAATTTAGACCTTCCTATATTTATAAACTGTAATGTACTCTACTCTACCCTCTGAGTCATCTACCTTTCATCTTCTAGGATTAACTCTTTCTTGGAAACCTTATATCAAATCTGTTGCAAAATTAGCATCTGCTAAAGTTGTATCTCTTTATCGAGCTCGACACTTTCTTCCTCTGGATTCTATTCTCCATCTTTATAAATCTCAAATCCGGTCTCGTATGGAATACTGTTGCCATATCTGTGGCAGATCTTCTAATGATGCCCTTTCTCTTTTAGATAAGGTGCAAAAACGCATTGTAAACATAGTTGGATCTGCTCTTGCAGCCAACCTTCAACCTTTGTTGTAATGTTGTTTCTCTTTCTCTTTTCTACAAATACTATATAATGGGCACTGCTCTAAAGAACTAGCGTCTCTTGTGCCATCTACTAAAATTCATTCTTGTGTTACTTATCATTCAATTAAGTCTCATCCTTTTTCTGTTACTGTTATTAAGTGCTCCAAAAACTCTTATTCGTCTAGTTTTTTTCCTTGAACATCAGTTCTTTGGAATTCGCTTCCTTGGTCCTGCTTTCCTGATTCATATAGTTGGCAATCTTTTAAGTCTTCTATCAATCGTTATCTATGCTCTACAAGCTTCATCTTTTCTTTTCCAGTAACTTCCAACACTAATTAATAATTGCTTGCAGCCTTGTTGGAAGCGATGCAACAAGTAACAAATGTAACAAATTTTAACAAATGTAAATGTTTGTAAAATAATAAGGAATAGTATTGAAAGCTTGTTAAAAATGTTTAAGCTTGTTGCAAATGCCATTGTTTTTACTCAGGCCTGAATCATTGAAATTACTCAGGCCTCTGAGTAATTTCAGTTAATTACAGCCTGATCTCTTTGTAAAAAGTGGAAAAAAATTGAATATTGTAATTTCTTTGTAAAAAGTGGGAAAAAATTGAAAAAAGTTTACATAGTATTTATTGCTCAACAATCCTGTAATGTAAAATAACAATTAAAATAATTTTTAGATGGTTTCATGGTCACATGTCAGGAAAAGATGCTGAAAATTTATTAATGGATAAAGGCAAAAATGGGAATTATCTAGTGAGAGAAAGTATTAGAACACCTGGAGATTATGTGTTAACAATTCGGTAATATTTTATTACTTTAAATTATTAAATTATTGTTACATTTACAATAATAAAAACAATATAAAATTGTATATAATGCAATTAATATTTATTACCTCTTTTCTTTTAGCATTTATTTATTTTTGTAAAAAATATAATGCATGCTGTTAAACAAGATTCTGCAATTCTGCAAATTATTAGGTATTACAAAATATAAGTATTACAAAATAATTGTTATAGCGCGCATAATAATGGGCAGTCAATGATCAGCAGTTTTTAGAAAAATTGCAAGTTAACATTTCTTTGGTTGTCTAAACGTAAACATATATAGCAAGTTTATGATTGGTGGAAAACCTTTATTTTGAGCAACAATGTAAGCAATATTCTCTTTTCTATAATTAATTTAATAAGTGTTGCTCTAAAGAACTAGCGTCTCTTGTACCATCTACTAAAATTCATTCTCATGTTACTTGTCATTCAATGAAGTCTCATCCTTTTACTGTGACTGTTCCTAAGTGCTCCGAAAATTCTTATTCATTTAGTGTTTTTTCTCAAACATCCTTGAACATCAGTTCTTTGGAATATGCACTCTTGTTTTCCTGATTCATATAATTTTCAATCTTTTAAGTTGTCTGTTAATTGTTATCTTGCTTTATAAACATCATCTTTTCTTTTCCGGTACCTTCCAACTCTATTAGTGGTTGCTTGCAGCCTTGGAAGTTATGATGTTTAAAAAAAAAAAAATTTATAATAAAAAAGCTTTAGTTTTAAAACTTTCTAATAGAAATTACTAAAAAATTTAAATTCTGTTTCTATTATTACTAGTAAAAAGTGATAGACGAAAATCGTATTTTAGTATAAGAAATTAAATTTTAAGATATTAATCATTTTTATTTAAATGACCAAAATAAGTGTAAACAACAATTGAACGCTGTATTTCGAAAACGTGATGAGTCAAAAATTAGATTATTTGAAAAAAATATTCACAAGACGTATGTTTGCATATTTAGAACAAAAATGCGAGGAGTTAATAAGGCTCTAAATATTGTGTATTTTGAAAACGTTACAAGTCCCGAACTTGTAACGTTTTCAAAATACACATAGACAATATTTGCTATTTTTGTTTATGGTTGGAATCTATGGAACTGTCAGTTCGATTAAAATGTCGATCATTGATAGTTCTGATAGTACAAGTATTGACAAAAATATGGATTTAAATGACAGAAAAAAGTAAAAAGGAGTGCTTAACACTCATAAATATAAACAAAATGTTATAAAAAAGGCAAAAATAAAAAGCAAAACATACAAATTATGTGAATAATTTCTGCAGTTTCAATGAGTGAAGATTGTAGGGTAGTTTTGTCCTCATTTTTTATCTTTTAAGATATATATTCAACTTGACACATTTTTTTACATGGTTCTTCCATATTTGCTTATTATTTCAGTTGTCAAAACAACTGATTTGAACCCAAAATACTATTCAAAGATCGTTTTTTGATATGAATACAAAAAATGAACAGGACATTTTTCTACTAAGCAAATGGAGATATGTAAAATTAAATGTAAATGGCCGAGAAAGGAAATACCAGGAAAAAGATCTTTTAATGTTTTATACCATTTGAATATAGAAGGTTCTCGGGTGGATGTTTGTAAAGTCACATTTGTGAATGTTTTTAGAATAAAAAAAAAGGTGTGTTCAACGATTAAGTGAACTACTTAAGACAGGAAAAACTGCTAATGACATGAGAGGATGTATGCTTGGATCATGTAGCAGATGTATTAGTAGCGAAAATTGTCTTCAGATTAAAAATTTTATAAGTTCTATTTATCAAAAAGAAGTTTACTATGGTGATGTCGCTATGGTAATGTGAGAAAAAAATATTTGATTGCATCATTAAACATTCAAATTATGTTTGATATGTTTAAAAGAGATCCATCTCCCATTAAATATCACTTTTTTTGAAATTATTTTTGAGAGAACTAATTATTATTTGGAAGACCACAAGCAAACGTATGTTCAATGTGTGAGGTGTTATTACGAAAAATGAAAAATGCTCTTAGGATGGAGCGAAAATTTTTTTTTTTGAAATTTGCTCCTGTTGCATCCCTAGGTTTGCTTTATATAATAAAATAACACTGGATTTTAAGTTTTAAATAAAAAATACTTTTTTGGGGTCCCAAGTGACCCTTGAATATTTGGTTCCTAATATTACCCAAAAAAAATTATTCAAAAGTATGTCAACCTGTTACTCAAAAAAGCTGAAATTTTATAAAATTTTTAAAAATAGTAAACATTTTTATTACATTAACATTAAAAATTTTCATTTTTTTTTAAATAGTAAAATACTGTACTTTTTATTTTGTAATAAAACGTTATGTAATAAAATCTAAAATGATAATATTTATATAAAATGGCTTTTAAATATACATTTTTTTTTTTAAAAGTATTTTTGAAATTTTTATAAAGTTTTACTTTTTTTTTGAGTACCAGATTGACATTATGAGTCGGTTAAGCCCCCTAAAAATATTTTTTATTTATAAATTTTTCAATTCTAGTGTATTCTAATTTTATAGATTAATTCTAAAGTAAGAAATTTTCAAAGAAAAAATAGGAAAAATTTTTAAAGAAAGAAATTTTCACTTCACTATACTGTTTAGAAACCAAAATTTTTTTTTCTTTTAATCAATCTTGAAATTACTTTTATTTAGCTGCAAGGGCCACCGAGATATTTCAATTATTTAAATTAAAAGCATGGAAGTTAATAAAAGTTAATAATCATGTTTTTATTTCTAGTAGTTAATTTACATCTTATTTTCATGAAATGCATCTGGATTAAATAACACTTAAGCAAACACATTTAACATTCAAATTAATATTGAAATTGCTCTTTTCTTGTTTTTTTATAAGAAAAAGTAAATTAAAAAGTAAAATTTTTTTCAATTTATTGTGTAAACCAGTTGTTCTCGATAAACTGCCTCCCTTTAAATTTTTCGGGATTTGTATGGCAGCATTTGTGATGTACAAATGTACAAATCTATATTGAGATTTAAATTAAATTTTGTAGAGTATTTCATAATCCTATCTTTGATAATTCTCTTTGTCTCCTTGTACAGTATATAGGTGAGAGACACCACCTTTTAGTTATAATTTTGGACTTTTTTTGGGGCATGACATTTGATTTTTGGCAAAGATCTGGGACATGCACATTTTGTTTTTTTCATGATCTTTTGCATTTATTAAAAATAAATACAATAGGTAATGCAAAGTATTTTGCGCAGTTTTGTATTTTTTCTATCGCATCGCGACTCCAACCTTAGCAACTTGCCAACCTTAGCAACTTGCTGACATTTAATTATTCTCTAAAAGAAGTTTCATCAAAAGATTCTTTTGATCAAATTTTAGCACTCCTCGGGAGTCATTAAACCTTAGCAAATAAATTTAATTTTTTTTGCTATTTAAAATTTTAATTTTATTTAAAATCATGATTCAGATTAATCTGTTATAAAATACTCTTTTTTCTATTTTTCGTTTTTATGAAATAAATTGTTTATGAAAAAAGTATTTAAAAAAGTTTATCAAGTTTATGAATTATAAGTTTATAAAATATAAGTTATAAAAAAAGCATTTATGAAATTTTTTTATTTTTTGAAAATAACTGACTAGGTTTATCTTAATAAAATGTTTTGTTTGGATAAGATCTGGTGTCTACTTTAATGTCATATAAAAAGCATGTCAATATTTTTTTTCTTTGGTTGGTCCCCACCAACCAATCAAAAGAGATTAATTATTTAAAACTTTAATTCTTTGATAAAATAAATATAGCAAAGTTAAATGCTATACACATCACTAATCAATGAAAAATTTTTTTTTTTATATTTTTGTAATTAAAATCTTATCATGCTATATAAGGTTGAAAGGCCAATTTAATTTTACCCAGAGATGGCTAATAAACTGTAAATTTATTTTTTACAAAAAAAGGCTAATTTTTTATTCAGTTTGTAAGCCTCTCAGTTCACAGTTCTCAGTTTGTAAGGATTGATAATACTTTATTCAACACTAGGTTTACATCTATTGGTGTTCCATAAGATTCAATTTTGGGTTCTATTCTTTTCCTCATTTACATAAATGATTTGAACACGTGTAAAATTTTCTAAAACATTTTGCTGACCAATCTTCTTATTGATAGTAAATCTCTTAAAAAAACTCACTAAAAATTTTAATCATGACCTTGCATGTTTTGTTCAAGGGATAGGGTCAAATAAATTTTTTTTACATACTAAAAAGCCGAAATAGTTGTCTTCTCAAAACAATAAAGTTCCAAAGTAAGCTTTCAAAAAATAAATATTGTAGATAGAATATTTAGGCATAATATGAAATTCTCTTGTTCCACTAACCATTAAAAGCAATATCATGCAAACTCAAAGTCAAATGTAAAAGTCAAGCAAATAAAATGCTTTCTAAAATAAGACATTTTTTCAACTTTTTTATTAAACATTAATAAATATTTGGCATATTTAATTCCCACATAAGGTATGGCTGCCAAATAAGGAAACAAAAAAAATGTTAGATGAATGCTTACAAACTGAGTAAAAAAATAGATACTCAAATTAATAATCTAATAAAACTTCAAAATTATAACAATTAGTTTATCTTGAGCCAAGCAGTTTTAATCCAGAATTGTTGTATGGTTTGTCAAAGATTTTTAAGTAAGATGAATTTACTTGTCAAACTGTGTTTTTGTATGGAACATTATCCAACAATTAAATTTAAAATTTAACAATTAAAGTTAAAAAAATAAGTTAAAATTTACATTCATAACTACAAACTTCTTAATCTTCTTATAATCTAGTTCTACCTAAAAAAAAAACAAGTAAATATGGTATTCAATCTTATTTTTAATTATAATTAATTATACCAATCGATTCGCTCGTGGAACATCTCCCTATTTCAATAAAAATAAATCTTCCAAAATTTTCTAAAAATGCCCCCCATCCCCATACAGTTATTAACATAAAACTTGAAATCTTCATACTCTTTAGAAATGGCAGACAGATAGTGCAAAAGAAAGCAGCAAGTTTCGTTTAGAGACTTTCAAGCCTGCCTCCCATGGTAAAGGTAGAGTGTCGCAAAATTTCTCTTCACATCATGAATATAAATTTTACTTTATCTAATAATCTACTTACTAATATCTACTTTATCTACTTTATCTAACTTATTTACTACCTTAGGAAAACAAACTAAATAACCAATCACCAACCTAGGTCTATAGGCCAACTATAAATTACAGAGCATATATCCAACTAGTTACAGATGAGTTAATACAATTTGGCATAGGGCCTACGCCAAATTGTTTAATTTAGCATTGTTAATTTAAAATTTTTTAATTTAAAAATAGGCCTATTAGGCCTATTGTTAAATTAAGAATGGTTTGAGTACTATCTCTTACCTGCATGGATCTCTGATAGACTTTACATCAACTTTTTATTTCCTGTGGTTGTCAAATGCCACACCAGTAAGCCTAGATTTCTTAATCTTGTTTTTTTTATAACCATCTGGGTTTCTCTTCCTTTTTTTAGAACTTATATGATCCTATTAGGCAATAGTTTTTTTTTTTTTTTTTTATAGTACAAAAACTTAAAGTCATTTTGGACTAAATGACAAAGATTGGAGAGTATAAGATAGTGTTTTTTTTGGCAGGCTAATATACTGTCAATAAAATTATTTTACCTAGTTTTAGAGTTAAAAATAAATAAAATTTTTTTAAAAACTTGTAAAAATTTTTTAAATCTATGACAGTTAATAAAGTTGTTTTAATATCCATGTCCCTATTTATTTAATATCCATGTCCCTATTTATTTAATATCTATGTCCCTATTTATTTGTCTCCTTTTATTCTTTTGCGATTTTGATTCTATTCCAGGTAACAAATAATTTTGTTTTAAAACAATTTATTAAAAATTTTTTATAGAAAAATTGAAAAATTAAAGTTATGAATTTGAAAATAGTAGAAAAAGAAAGAAATTGACATGTCTACAAGAAATTAAAGTTATGAATTTGAAAATAGTAGAAAAAGAAAGAAATTGACATGTCTACAAGAAATTAAAGTTATGAATTTGAAAATAGTAGAAAAAGAAAGACATTGACATGTCTACAAGAAATTAAAGTTATGAATTTGAAAATAGTAGAAAAAGAAAGACATTGACATGTCTGCAAGAAATTAAAGTTATGAATTTGAAAATAGTAGAAAAAGAAAGAAATTGACATGTCTACAAGAAATTAAAGTTATGAATTTGAAAATAGTAGAAAAAGAAAGACATTGACATGTCTACAAGAAATTAAAGTTATGAATTTGAAAATAGTAGTGAAAGAAAGACATTGACATGTCTACAAGAAATTAAAGTTATGAATTTGAAAATAGTAGAGAAAGAAAGACATTGACATGTCTACAAGAAATTAAAGTTATGAATTTGAAAATAGTAGAAAAAGAAAGACATTGACATGTCTACAAGAAATTAAAGTTATGAATTTGAAAATAGTAGAGAAATTAGAACTTTCTTGTAGACAAAAACAAACAACAAACAAAATGTCATTAACAATTATTCAATGTCTACAAAAAAGACAAGTCGCATGGTAAAGCATAAGTGGCGATTTGACATTCGTCTACAAGATGATGTCTGAATGAAATTAGAACTGTCTTGTAGACTTCTTTGTCTACAAGAAAGTTCTAAAAATTACTGAGATTTTGTTGATAAAAAATACAAAAAAATTGGAATTAAGATAAAATATAAAAATTTACCAAATATTTTCAGTAAAGGAAAAGTATACTGATCTTTTAAAATTCAAAATGGCTGATAAAATTTGTTTATTGTTTTTCTGCAGTATTACATTCCTTATGCAAAATTGAAAATGTTAAAAACATAAATTGCATCATTAATTCTTGTCTTAATTCTTTAAGTTAAATTTTTTTTTTGGTCAAGATTCATTTATTATCTTTTTTATTTTTGATAAGGTCGGATGACAATGTGATTCATGTCATGATCAGAAATGTTAATGAAGAATATGATGTTGGCGGTGGAAAAAAATTTAATACAATTACTGAACTTGTTGATTATTATAAACAAAACCCAATGGTGGAAAGTAAATTTGGAAGAGTTGTACATCTTAAACAGGTCAGTCAATTATTATGGATTTTTTTTACAGTAAAAAAAAACACTTAGTGACAAAAGATAATTTATTACTTTTTTTTTTTTTTTTAAATGGATATGTTTTTTACTTTTGTTCAATATTTTAATCTTTAATTTATTGTTACAATAAAATAAACCAATTACAATTTGACGATGATAAATAATGAAGTCTCCAAAAAATCAGCTTTGTTTCTTTGCATTAGGATACTATGATTTAATATATAGCTGCAGTAAGTTTTCCATGATCACACTGATGGATCATTAAAATCTTTCAGTTTACTGCAGTTATTAGATATATATAAAATAAATATTATATATATATATATATATATATATATATATATATATATATATATATATATATATATATATATATATATATATATATATATATATATATATATATATATATATATACAGGGCTGTGGAGTCTGAATTGCGACATTTTCAGCAAAGTTGGAGTTGAAGTTGCTAAACAAAATTGTGACTTTAACTACATAAATTTTTCAGAAATTTGGCAAAAAATTTTTTAACTTATCGCGTAATATTTTTAAAAGAATTCAAAGAATTTTTCAAAAATTTTGCTTAGGAGTTAAAGTTGGAGTCATACTCTGAAAATTTCAACGGTTGGAGTTGGAGTCAGTACTTTTTTTTTACCACTCCACACTCTTGTATATATATATATATATATATATATATATATATATATATATATATATATAATATATATATATATATATATATATATATATATATATATATATATATATATATATATAACAACAACAACAATAACTACAAGATATTTATTTTCCTCAAAATTTACAATCATATAATTACAATAATATATCAATAACAACAACAACAACAACAACAAGATATTTATTTTCCTTAAAATTTACAATCACAAAATAATTACAATAATATATTAGTAATAATAATATTAAGAAGAATAATAAGAATAAGAATAAGAATAATTAGGATATCAATATTGTATAGTTTATTGTAAATGTTATTATTATTGTATAGATTATTATAAATATATAAAATCATAATATCATTATTAAGAATAAATATAAATAATTGATTGACAAGGAAGGAGTTACTCATGCTGAAACCTGATCAAATGAGTGACACCAAATAGTTATATTAATGGTAATAATTTAAAAATTATAATGATAACAATTAACTTTATTCATTAATAAAAGTAACAGCAAAAATAATAGTTTTTATAATAATTATAATAATAATAGTAACTAGCAGTAAGCAACCCGTAATACAGGTTATTAGTAATTAAAACATTGCTTTCTAAAAAATAGCCTTCAGCTCTTTCCAATTGCACTAAAATATAAAACAAAACTTTGCTTGAAGCTTAAAAATCTGAAAACAGAAAAGTAAAAAACTTAGAGCAAACTTTTTTTTATTAAAACTACTATTTAAACAAATTAAGTTAAATAAAGCTGAGATTTCCTATATAAGTTGATGGCAAAATTACAACACGTCCTGGTCTGTGATCATTTCCTTTTATAAAAGCAATTTTATTTAGTTAACATAAATGAGTTCTTGACTTAATGAAAATCTCGTAGATTTCTTTCTGTAAATCCCGTAAAATTGTTTTAATAAATTTAAAGGATAAATAAGGAATTTAAAAAAAGAAACTATAAATTAATAAGTAATTTCTTATATTTGAAAAAGTTAATTTGAATGAACTAAAAAAAAAATTATAGAAAATATATTTGTTTAAATGCAAATGTTGCCGTATTTAAAATTATATATAATATTGTTTAAATTAATAACAAAAAACATCCGAAAATTTCTGGAAAATTAAATGAGAGAAATTGAATTTCCGGAATTCCTGGAAAAAACTCATCTATGAGCTAAATAAGTTAATTTAAAAGATTTTGTGTAGGAAGAAGAGAAGACGCAAATTAAAAAAGATGGTTTTTATTTACAAACAAAAATATTTTACAAAAATATTATACAAACAAAATTTACAAAGAAAAATATAATAACATAATTTACAAAGATATAAAACAAAAACAATTTACAAATATAAGAATATAAGAATACATCTACAATTAGTATTTTGTAGAAATGTAACCTACAAAATACTAATTGTAGATGTATGTAATCCCCCCTCCCTCCCCCATCCTTCTTCTATGGCAGCCATCGCTACCCCCCCCCCCCCCATGGAAGAAGGGATGGTCCCTACCACCGTTTCGGACCCACACCCCATGCGCCCTATGGGATGTGGGTCCATTGTGTTGACTTCTGTAGTTTAAAACCCCTGGTATGACATATCTGAAATGAAAATAACAATTTTCTAAAAGAGCAATATATTTAAGTGTAAAGATAACACAAATACAATAATGAGGAAAACTGCAAACCACTTACCATTAACTGCAGTAGCAATTAATGTCAAAGTGGTATGTGCCAAATCTGAAATGGAAATAATATACAAATAATATACAATTTTATACAAATTTAATAATAGTGTTAATAATTAAATCTACATTTACCAAGTGTTGTTTCTGCTACTCTCACTATAAAAAAATAACTAATTAACTACTTAACTTAATTACTGAACATAATTATTAAATCATTTTAACTATATATTTCTTACATTTGTTTCATCGTTTGCGTTTCATCGTTTTCAAACGTTTCATCGTTTGCGTTTTGCATACTAAAGTGAAAAAAAAATGTATTATTTCGTGAAAAAATTTAATAATTTTATGTAAGAATACTAAATATATTAAAAGATTTCAACCAAAATCTGCAATTAAAATTAAAACTAAGTCTTACAAATTTCTTGCATTGATTGCACTAAAATCAGATATTATATAATATAAATATAAAATAAAATATAAAAATCCTATAACATACTAAAGCAAGTGTTATCAAAAATTTTATTATGTATAACTGTAACTAAACATAACTATATAACATAAATATATAACTAATATTAAGGTATAAAGAATAATATATGAAGAATATTTTAAAAAAACCTTACACATCAGTTGCAAAAGCTATAAAATAAAATAAAAAATGTCACACACACACACACACACACACACACACACACACACACACACACACACACATATATATATATATATTACAAATAAGGGATTTTTTTCAATAAATGGATTATATAAACAATAAATTTTATGTTAAAGGAAAAAATCTTACTATTTGGTTGAAGCTGAACAACTAAAAATAAAATTATATATATATATATATATATATATATATATATATATATATATATATATATATATATATATATATATATATATATATATATATATATATATATATGTATGTATTTTACAAATAAGGGATTTTATCAATAAATGGATTATGTAAACAATAAATTTTACGTTATAGGAAAAAATCTTACTATTTGGTTGAAGCTGAACAACTAAAAATAAAATTATATATATATATATATATATATATATATATATATATATATATATATATATATATATATATATATATATATTACAAATAAGGGATTTTATCAATAAATGGATTATGTAAACAATAAATTTTACGTTATAGGAAAAAATCTTACTATTTGGTTGAGACTGAACAACTAAAAATAAAAAAATAAATCATAGCATGTTAATTTAACTGATGTAAACTTAAATGTTAATTAAAAACTCTTTAACAAAACAAACAATAAACTACTATTCTTTTGTTGCGGTTCCGCTAAAAACAAAATTGATACAACTATGATTATTTAAGGATTAAAAAAATCTTTATAAACACCATTAACGACAAACAATCAAAAACTTACGTATTTGAACAATCATATTGTCTGAAGCTTCTAAAATTTGAAAAGAGCTTATTACAAAAACAAATAAACATTGCAAAACAATAAATCAATTAAATAATAAATATTAATAAAAAATAATGTTTTACCGGACATTGTAATTCTTTAATATAAATCTAAACAAAGGGAATAAATAACAAACTAAAAAATTCTAGATAAAAACAGAAAATCATAATAGATCTTTTATCTATTTATGAACAGATTAAACAGATAATAGATGATATAGAAGACAACCATACTGTAGCGTTAGAAAGCGTGAAAGAAGTGTTAGAATAATTTTGATGCTTTAGACCTTGATGCCCTTAGCTCCGTGTCAAAATGCACGAAGGGACACTATCAAACCGCGAATGTACTAATTTATCTTTACCACAATCCTGCCCCCTTGACACACTGGTACGTTTTGGGATAACCCCCCCCCCCTGATACCTGCATACGTATTTTGTAGATGACTTCCTAATGATTATTAGGTTTTTCCAACAACATTTGGGGTGCTTCGCGGTTTTAATAATAGTCTTCCAATAATAAATATCAGTTTAGGAGATGAGCTGTAAATGAAGTTACCTCGATAAAATTTGAAAACCCTTTTTTAATAACAATCGATATCTTAACCTTACATTTAAGACAGGGTTCGTACTCAATTTTCCATATGAAATACCATGAATTTTTTTAAATCTGCCACTTTTCAAATAATAGTGTGTGACATATGAATTATGGGATACTCAAATATTTGCCACAGTGCCTCAGGTGCACCAACAAAACGACAATCTAAAAAAGTATTTACTTCATTGTGATTAACCTGTTCATTTATCAAAACATTTGCACAATCATGACCTTTGTATATGTATTTGTACAAATATTTAACAGCCTTTACAGACATGCAAGCTTCAACATTAATGTGGGCTTGATATTTCTTAGATAACCAAGGATTGTAAAGTACCACCCAACGGTTGGCTACATTGTTGCCTTTAATATTGATAACCAACCCATTATCACGACATCTATATAGTAGATAACCATTGTGAATGGCTACTGTATTGGCATTAAACTCTTTGGAATAATTTTTGCTGCACACCCCATCTTTCATGCAGGGAGAATTAGGATTCAGTATCCCACATGGGCCCTGAATCATGCAAGTTTTAATAATATC